AAATGTTTTGCTCTTACCTTCTTCATTCACTCTGCCCTCTGCTTTCTTGTTGGTTAGGTATATAGAGATTTCAAGCAAGGCATGGCTCACTTTCCCTTTATTTTTGCCTTCTGTATAATACTTCATGTCTTTTTTGAGTCCAGTGCTGAAGCTGTCAACAGTCACTGCTGCCGCTTTGGTTTAGGGGTTAACTGCTTGTTCCGCCTAATTACGTTAAATAAATCCTTAAACAATTCCTGGATCCGGACTATGATGTGGATCATCACCATAATTTAAAGGATTATTCCTTGGAATGAGGTGCACCTCTAGTAAAAATTTCATTAAAATCAGTTAAGAACTTTTCAAATGATCCTGTACACAGATGGATAGACAATAAAACTCTCCCAAAAACATAAACACCTTGGCGGAGATACGTACCTGATTTTAGGGATTAGGAAAAGTAATATAGAACTTTAAAAAGAAAAAAGGGAAACTGCATGAAAAATACATTTTGTGTGAATATATTTAAAAAAAAATGTTTAAAGACAGATTGTCACCATCTTTTTTTTTATTAATTTATTAATTTTTTAAGGAAATGTGGCAGCCGGGGGTGATAGACAGATAGAGCAGAAGTTATGTAATAGGCAGATAAAGAGATAGAGAAGCAGAATGACAAAGAGTAAGAATAACAATGGAGTCAAAGCTCCTTCCATCCTTCTTGCAAACATCACTGATCCCCCTTTCTCTCATTTAAATTCCTCTCCATTGTCATTTCAATCCAGGCCTAACCCCCAGAGCCTGGCAAATACGTATGCCCGCAATTCCTTGCAAACACTCATGGACATTAAAGCGTGCATGTATTGACCTCCAGCAGCAAGTGGGACAATCCCAGGGTGCAGAGCTCACACATCTCAGATAATCCTTATCAGCAAGCACACGCTGACAGTGTCTGCTGGAAAGAGAGGCTTAAGTTTCACCAGACTGCAGATGTCTGAGGGACCCTGCCCATGCTAACATGGGTGGGGGAACGGAGAGTAGCTTGTCACCAAACATCCATGCTCTTGTCAGCAACACAAGGGCAAGCAAAGTAGCAGGGCACTCAGCTGTGCCATGTCAACATGTGTTGTTGACATGGCTAACTTTATTCTCCTTTGCGCCAAACATGCCGCAAAGACTTGTCAGCAGGCCTGCTGCTCTCAGTATTTGCCCCTTGATACATACTAAATGCATAACAGCAAAATAAAAAGCCTTGAAAGAAATGTCTAGTCAACATGGTCAGGACATGGTTCATTAATATTAATTAGGGAGATCATTATTACCTTGTCAGTACCTCCTTGTCAGAGATGGCGACCATTCCAGAATTGAATAGTACAAAGAAAAAATACTTTAAGTATAGCATTAATAGGTTTATATTAATCCAATGACTGTGTTAGAGTCATGGGATGATACCGCTCTTCATCTTATTTAACAGTTTTAGACAGCAGTTAATGTAAGCCCTATGGATGGATGGATGCATGGAATGACGGACAGATGGAGAAATTGATGGATGGATATCTACATATGGATCAATTTCAGTAATAAGGTGACAATAGAGTTAGCAGAACTTTCATCTCATTAAGGACACATTAAGAACTGTCAAATTTCTCAGATATTCTCCTTAGTAAAACTAATAATGACAATAATATAACCTGGATGTAAACGATTACGTTATAGAGCTGTCAGATGTTAACTGATTATATCTCTTGAAAGCTGTTTTGGGACGATTATTTAAGAAGATGTTCCATTCCTAGGAAGAGGGAAAATGTGAATTTTTTTTTTTTTTTTTAAAGGTATAGAGGATGATAATTTATTTCTGGGTGGATCATCTAAATAAGTGGTCCTGATAATTGTCAATCATTCTGGTGGTATGTTTATGTAAGGCCGTCCAACATGCTCATCCCGTTAGCGATCTTTTTCTGCGCATGCACACTTTCACTTTCGGTTAATAGGTGTTCCCTCTCCTAAGCGAGTACAGGGTTGTGCATGTGCATTGCGAAAATCCTCCACAATACATTTAAGGTAATTTTAAATAGATAAAGGCAGGACAGGCTTTAAAGTAAAGACCACACATAACAGTAACTGAAGCGCAGGCAGACTGAGGCACATGCACACACAGTTATACAAATACATTTTTTTTTAAATGTACTTGTCATAATTGCAGAACCTAAAAGTCAATTTCAAAGTCAATTTGATGGCAAAATGCATCTGCAAAGGGGGAAATCAGGAAATGAAACAGACAAATCAATGCCAATTTAATTTAAAAAGAAAAGATGAATCCTTGTGTATGTGTTTTTCTGACAGGCTGCATGCTTGTGTAAAGGTGGTTCTGCCGACCAGGCAACCCAGAGAGATCATAACACACAAACTCTCACATTACTAGTGACCCCTCAAGCCCCCCTGCCAGTGGCAACCCTCAGAAACACCACCACACACAGGCACGCTTGTCAGCAGGGAATCCATGCACTTTGCAGAGATGCATGTCAGTAGAAGGACAGGAAGGAAGGGTTGCATGTCAATGGGCTATATCACATGTAGACCAACTGATGGAGCTTCTTTAGATGCTAGATGAAAAAAGGTTATCAGGTTGAATCTGTGCTTTTTATCCATTCCTTATCTACGCTCCCTAACAGAAGCAAGAACAGAAAGTAAGGTGACAGCGACAAAAAATTATTTTGGCAAAACATCAAATATAGATAATTATAATAAAAAGAAACTCAGATTTTAAAAAGGATCAGTTTAAAACCCTAACGTTTAATTCACTAAATGAATTTCTAATGGAGCAACTGACATGAGTAATCAAACAATAAATAAAGGATTAAAAACAAATGAGTTCATACATGCCTGAAGTTACAAGATGCGTAATGGACTAGGTCTTTCTTGCTTTTTTTTCACATGTAAATTAGTCAAAATTATTTTGAAAAAGAAGATAAACCTTGTTATGTTCGCTCTGTTATCACTTTAGGCCTGCTGGTAATATGCATCACCATGCCCGCTCCAAACAGTGTCCTTGCTATTTTATAGGCTTTGTTCAAATGTTTTGCTGCTATAAACAGCAGATGAGCTTTAATGTGTTTTTTTTTTTCTTCAATTTAGACTTGTCTTGTTAGTGTGTATTAACATCTGATTACATTTCATTATTGTTATCGTGAAAAGCTGTTTCTACTAATTCCAGGTCTTTCTGCAGCTCTTGCAAAGTGGTCATTGGTTGTTAAGAATGCGTTTGAAGTATTCTTCTGACTCTTCAGTCAGAAATCGTGCCAAGAACACAGGGTAATTAATGGTTTATGCTGAAATTATGTTTTTTCGACTACAAGATCATGGGCCTAGTGGTGCTCACTCAAACAATCAGGGGTTTAGACATCTGTTTTTAACCGATGTCATAAAAGTGTTTCGTAAAAAAAAAAAAAAAAATGGTTAAAACATTTTGTTTAGCTTTTTGCTGTTTTTTTTTTTGTGTTTTTTTCCTGACCCATTTTTATAGCCCATCATTTAGGACCAAGCCTGACGCTGATTTGAACTGATAAAGATTAGGTTTTTAATTAAAATTTTGACAAATTTCAGCATGGTCTTTTATTTTTATACCTTTTGCAGCTTATTTTATTTATGTTTTCAATACTTACTGAAACATTTTATTTCACTACTAATTAATTTCACCTATGTAACATTTCTAAACATTGCTTCTCTGGTTGTTGTGAATGTGCTTCAAACAACAAACCACAAGGCATATGCTCCTGAGAGAGGAAATACATTCTTCAACTTGATCTCAATTACAATTCTGGCAAAAAGGAGAATCTCGGAGTAATTATGCTGCATTACACCTGTTTTTCAGCAGAACCCTTAAGTTGCTGCGTTGACCGGTTCAATCCACCAGACTGGCACAGGGGAAATCTGAGTTGGAAATCTTAGCTGGGGTAAAGCACATAAGCAATGCCCCCCCCAACCTACCTGTGCCACCAGAATTGAAGTCTAGCAGATGAAATGCAAGGCTTAGATCTTCCAGTTTGTTGCTTGCATCAATCGAGGGGAAAACAAGCTGCATTTGGTCATTCTTTCAAATATCATTTGTTTTTTATGTACAGACATAACTTCAGGTGATTTGCTGTATTTAATTTTAGTGATATTTAATCTTAGGTTCAGATCTTGATGAGTAAATAAAAATGTGTGTGCACACTATCTGTGTTCAAAGTTTTGCGGCAGGCATAGACTTCCCTGTATGTAACCCAATAGTCCTTCGGTGTCTGAATGTGTCTGCATGGAATCTGGATATCTGTCTATGTGTGTGTCCATGCCATCTGCATATTCTATGTGTGTGTGTTTGTGCGTACAAATTTGTGAACATGCAAACCAGTGAGTCCCCGCCAGCTTGTGTCTGCATTCCAACCGTTCCTATATCTGACCATCCACATATGTACTTCACTGACAGTTCTGGTCACATGAACTTTATACGTCTACACACAGTTCTTTCAACACCCACCGCTCCACACGCATTCACAGACACACAAATCCTCATGCTGACACTTGCATGTCACTGAGACAACCAGATAAAGCCAAAGATGAGATATTGGTAGAGGAGCAGTTACAGTTCCCCCATACTAAAAGAGGTTCAAAACATATATTTTTTTCATTTTTGAGCTACAAACCATTAAGATTGTACAATTCTTGTTTTGAAGCTTAATTATTATGTATACAGAGATGCTTAACAGCTTTTTCTGTTTTTCGTTTTTTTAAAGTAATTAATATGAGATAATCTGAACTCGAGTATTCATTATGAAAAGCAGCTTGCTTAAAAAAAGAAATAAGATATTAAGTGTTTGATGTAACACAAAAGGTTTCAGCAATAGAGGCAGAAATAAGGATTATAGATTATGTTTTTGTGAAGTCAGAAATTTAAAAAACCTTTCAAGGTTTTTATGCTCGGAAAAGTAGAAAAAAAAACAAGTTCTTGCATCTGTTTAAAACCTTAAGACTAGACATAGACTTACCATAAAGTGGGTAAAAAGTTGACTCTGTCCTCCTCTTCACCCTGCAAATAAAACACAGAGTCAGTCATTAGATCCAGGGACAGAGATTAGGAGGAAAGCATCCTATCAGGAAAACAAGCAAAGTTTAAAAAGACAAATTAATGTTTAACTTGTCAGATAGCCTAAAAGGTATACAGAGCCTCACAAGGTCATTTCAACTTTTCACATTTCTTTAGACTGCAAATGAATAAGTGTGTCGAAGGAAAATATCTGTAATTTATGTTTTTGAAATAATAATCTGCAAATCAATTTCATGCAGGTCCTCTTTTCTTTTTATACCTTAATAGCCTAATTTGGACTATGCTCTTTAAACTTAGCACTTCTGGTTCTCTGCATTGTTTATTTATTTATTTTTTTTTATAGAATTCAAGTTGAAATTAGGTCTGGACCTTTAAAGAGCTAGTTTTTATCCTGTCTTTTAATTTGGGGACTCAGAGTAAAGTGGTTATTAGAAATGTCTTGAACATAAAAACTTTTGGTTCAAAAGTGACCAAATGTCCTTGAGGGAGAGGATGAATAATTTTCCAAGTTATTTTAGCATCTAATGTTTATACAAGTTTTTTCATTTTTTTTTATTCAGTTATGGATCTCATTGGATGCTTTAAAAGGATTAACTGCAATTTGTAAAAATGATATAAAACAGCTAAGGCATAAAACAGTGAGATAAAGAAACAAAAAAACAAAAAAATAGGTTTTCAGTTATTGAAATAAGAAAAAGTAAAAAAAAATGTTTAGTGAGAAAACCTTGCCATAGGCTTTTCACAGCAGTCTTATCTCCCCAGTGCATTCGCCATTTTCTCTCCATCTGGTTTCAGTTCTTTCCACCTGCCCATCAGTCTGCAGCTATGGATAGGTGAGCCTATTACACGCTTCTCACATTGTTCACTAGACACACTTAAAAATGCATGTGCACAGACACACTCACACAGCATATGTACAAGGTTTTACTTAATGGCAATTTATCTTTTCATGCACATTAGCCAAATCTGCTGCTCTGTAAAACGGCTGTCAGTGAAGCCACATCATGGCCCTGATGAAGTGATTCAATGTCCAGAGGGAGGAGCTCAAATAAGCTCTTTACTAGGGAACATGGGACATAAACTTGCACAAATTCATACAATACATTTAACACTGGAATTGAGTTTTGACTTTGAAAATTTGACAAAAATCTAAAGGACATTACCAGATAGATAAAGTGAAATTAAAACCAGAAAAGCTGTTTTTTAAGCAGACCTATATTTTTCATATGGTTGACTATTAGCAGTCAGGAAAGTACTAACAATTCACTAGTTAGATTAACTTTATTTTCATTTCCTGAAGACACAATCAAAGTTGGCTTAACTGTTGTTAGATAAAGATTTTATATACTGTATGTAAGTAAATTATTGTTATATATTTAAAAAGCTAAATGATCAATCATGCATTATTTGGAGTTACCAAAGAAGAGCCAGCCATTCTAAACAGATATATTTTTTGTAATTATTTTTCATATACTGGTTTTAATGGAATGATTTTTATTTTCAAAAGGTTTATTATTTATATACAAAAAAATTGGTCTTATCTTATATCTATTTTTTATCCTTGATCTGATTTTGATTGGTGTATTAGCAGTTTTCTAATTAACGTTATAATTATAGACATAGTGTCATACAAAATTATTTAAGCTTTGAGCTTCATAAGGTTTTATTCACAAACTGAAATGTTCATGATTCATAATTTATCTGAATCACAAAGAAAAAGAGAAAAATATTGGAAGGAAACTTATTAAACTTTCTGGAAATAAGACTTGTTTTGCAACTGTATATTCTTTTCAACTCGCCCATTTTTTTCTTCTCCATCCAACAATGCACTACTTTGTTATGATCTATGAAAAATTCCCAAAGAAATGCAATGAAATTCTGGTTAGAAGTTAGCAAAGGTGTGGTGGATTCCATGAGAGATACTACTTGCTTTTTTGTTGCTTTTTGCTGCCCAGAGGTAAAACAGTCATCATAAATATAACTAAGGGCATCAGTCCCTGATAGGCTATTTATTTACTTCCAGAAACCTTGTCCCTGAGCAAGGATGACCGTTTTGCTGGTAGACAAAAGAGAAAAATAAATAAATAAATAAAGGTGAAGTGAATTTGCTGATGCTGCTGAGCGCCAATGTTGCAGGATGTGCAATCATGTGAAACATCACCTTTTAGTCAACTACACACTTCCTCTGCACCTATCTTCTTTGCTCTACCTCGATCCACCTTTCAGCTTGTCTCATCCTCCTTTGCTCTTTCTGTCTCTTTGCGCCTCTGTGTCTTTTTCAAGCTGAAAAAAAAAAAAACTTTTTCTGTATTTATCTAGTGTCAGTGCTCCCCCAGACATTGACACCAGCTGTACTATTTCAGTTAAGCAGCTCCTGAACTCTCTTGGTGACACATTAAGCTTCATGCAAGCTCAGAAAAACAAATATTATTAGTGCTGCATAAAAGGAAAAAATACAAATAATTAACTTAAAATGAAACCAACCACATCAGCAAAAAAATTAAGAAATAAAATCCCACAGGCCTCCTGCAGTTCCAAAGAGGATGCATACCGTAAGCAGACAAGACTAAAATTGTTTACGAGAAGACTGAATCGTGATTGTGGATGTAAAAATGGGCTAAAACAGAATACGGAGAAGTGCTAAATACACTGTAGCCACTACAGTGGGGATTAAAATAGATTGGAAAGAGTGTAAATAGTGAGAGATGACTCTCAAAGATAATAACACACGCAGCATGTGTCTTTTCACCACTCCAATAACAGATCGCATGGTTTCACAGCCAGAAATATAAAAAATCCATTCATATTAACTTTATAATATTCAGTGACAACACTAAGGCTTAGCAGCGTGGGTGTATTTTTGCTTCAGAGAGTAAAACTTGATATGAATCTTTAAATCATGCTGCTACATTCTGATTTAGAGATACAGTAGAAGAAATCTGATAGCAAGCTTGGTTTTTGTGACTGTGGCATGACTGTTTGCCATGTCTCTTGGTCACATAGAGCACTTTGCAAACAGATGTTTTGGAGTTGGCAGCTAAAAGAGGGGATTATGTGCATGAAATTGTATGCTTCTTTTAGTTTATAATCAGGAAAAAAAAAGCCTTTGGGGCAAAGCGCATATGATTTGTTCACTGAGGTTTCATACTGGATGCTTAATACTGCTGCTTTAACACTCTTAGTCCATCCAACCTAAAGGGTATATATTCACAATCACAAATATTGTTGCAAACTTTAATCCATATATTTAGACTAAAAATATTTTACTGAAGTAAAACTCTTTGCAACATATCGGAATCATCCCATTACTCCGGCTTTACTGTAGCCTAGTAAACTAGCCCCACCCGCCAGCGGCCAAAATAATTTTTCCCTGCGAGTGGTCTAGCCTCGATCAATGCCCCAGGACCTAGAACTGGCGGGCCAATCACAACGCAGAGATGTGTTTTGAATTTCTGGATGCATAGCAGTGGGGGTTTTGAGGGCGTGACGACAAAGCTGCACAACGCTGGAGAAAGCACAACAAGGAAGATGGCAACAACTATTGAACAGTTCTCGTTTGACTCAGCTTTGAAATCAGTTTTGGAAAGATTATACTTGGGGTTTTCATTGAAACGTGAGCAGGAAGAGGCTCTACACTCATTAATTTTTGAGAAGGATTTATTTTTGAGAAGGAGGTATTCGCTGTTTTTAACGACAGGCTGTTTGTTTACACTCCCCCACCAGCTTTTTGTCGCTCTTACTACGTCAAAGTCAGTTGCGCTCATTGGACAGAGGGTTGGCGAATAGGCACAGACACGGTGTGAAAAAGAACGGGTTGTTCTCATCAATAATCTTTCGATGTCTCATTCATCGGGGCCAGAGTAAATTACACATTTAATCTCACATTTAGTCTGGTTTATCAGGCTAGCGTCCCTGCCTATCTTCAGGAAACTCCTAAAGATCCACCTCTTCAAAGGTAATCTCCTAACCTAACTGTTATCCATAGCTCTGTATCCCTCTACTACACTTTCTGTACTTCCCTCTTCTTCTTGTCTGTCACCACTGATTCTGACTAGGGGTTTTCCTCCAGTGAACCTATTGTCAAATTGATGATAACTGTAACATTGTCAGTCGCTTTGGATAAAAGCGTCTGCTGAAAGCATGAACAAATAATGCTAATGCCAAATTCTGCTAATTCAGTTTCCTAAACTATACAGAAGTGAAAATACCTGCATTACATTCAACATTTGTCAGAAATACTAGCTTCACAAACACTCTAAAAGTAAAAAGCAAGCAATCAGTACATGCCGATCCTCCACTGTAAAAATTGGTTGTGCCTAAAAGAATGATATAGCAATAAAAGCTTTAAAGACTATATTTTAATTACTTATTTTTGGCAAAATTAGATTTACAGGCCAGTTTATATTGAGGAAAAACCAACTTTATGTAGAGGCCCCATGACTCAATGTCTTCTAGCATGAGAATAAAATATTTTGAAACATTAAGCTTTTAAAAAGATTCAAATAGAAATAAACATAAACAATTCACCATATTCAGAATGAGGATAAACTTTGGCAAAATGTAAAAGTCAGGATAGACAATTACAAGATTACCCTTGTGGATTTGCAAAAAAAATCTATGTACTAAAAGAAGTCCTGAGAGCAACTGAGCTGTGCTATGCAGGAAATCCAATAAGAGTTCAGTTGGAAATCCACTGAATCTTTACCTCTACTTGTTTCTGTCAATCATGGCTATAATTAGAACACTAAGAGAGAATTTTAGGAAAGGTCATGAAGGGACAGGTTATTTGACTGTTTGCATGGTAAAAGTTGATGGTCCTGAGAAATAAAGTGAATTGGTCAGTTTTTTGTAAAAAAAAAAACAAAACAAAAAAACATTCAATTACTGAGTGGCACAAAAAGAGTTTTTTTTTTTTCTTCCAATATGGTGCAGCATTTATCCACTCTTCTTAGAATGAAGCAATATTAAGTACTGTCTTATAT